TGAGAGATGTTATGACAGATTAAAGGAAAGAAGAAGACAGATTTGGTGAGCGAGACAATGCATTGGCTCAAGGACAGAGAGGAAGTGGAAGGGATTTTGGAGGGAAATAGTCAAGTGATCAGGTGATATTTCCTACCAGCAGGTCTCAATTGTGGATGAAAAGTTCTGGATGGATCAAAATCCGAAGAATGACCACTGAGCAGGATGTGTGTTCACACAGAGGTCAGGGGCTGATGTCAGGTGTCACTGAGAGGGAGTGTACATTTACATAGGGACCAGGGGCTGATGTCAGGTGTCACTGAGAGGGAGTGTACATTCACATGGGGTCAGAGGCTGACATCAGGTGTCACTGAGAGGGAGTGTACATTCACATAGAGGTCAGGGGCTGATGTCAGGTGTCACTGAGAGGGAGTGTACATTCATGTGGGGTCAGGGGCCAATGTCAGGTGTCACTGAGAGGGAGTGTACATTCACATAGAGGTCAGGGGCCGACGTCAGGTGTCACTGAGAGGGAGTGTACATTCACATAAGGGTCAGCAGCTGAAGTCAGGTGTCTTCCTCTCAGTCTCCACTTTAGTTTTTGAAGCAGGGTCCCTAATTGGCCTGGAGCTAACCAGTTCTACCAGGCTGGCTAGCCAAAGGGCTCCAGAGATCCTCCTGGCTCCACCTCCTCGGCACTGCGGTTCCAGGCACGCACCATCACGCCTGGCTTTGCACACGGCGCTGGCGATCTGAACCCAGGTCCTCTTGATTGCACACACAGCAAGCGCTTTACTAGCTGAGCGTCTCCCCAGCACAAAAAGGCACTTTACAAACTCAATTCAAAGACATGGGAATTCCAATTAGAGTATTAAGACAGAGCCATAGAAATCCAACTGTATTATTTGCAGCCGAAGAAAGCTTGACTTTGAATAGCTTGGGCATTGGCCCTGACCTGATAAATATCCCCTTGCCTCTGTTAGCATGACTCTCCAGAAAGCCAGACTATCACAGGAAGGTTGTTCAAGATAGGGTCCAAATTTCAGTGGCATAGGGTCTGATAGCTGGTCATATCCCTTGCTAGGAGGTGGCGGCAGACTTCCCTTAGTTCTTAGAACATCTTCATCCTGACGCAATGTTTACACAGTTCCTCCCAGACTCTTCTCACTATGCCTTACCCCTTTACATCAGTCTGTCCTTATTTTTATTTAGTTTTTGCATTCCTGCCATTGATTTCTCAGCTATTTGCACACACAGATGAAGGACCACTGCCATCATTTGCTATTTCTTTATATCCAGAGCCTCCCTCCAATGTTAATAAAAGTGCAGATCCTGACACTTTTTAATGGCAGGAGAAGCCAAGCTCAAGTGCCCTCCAGCCTTCATTATAGCATGTCTTGTTATTTAGAAGCTAACCAGCTGGAAATCCATTGCAGAGCAGCCTCTGATGAATGGACATGGTCATTTTATTTCTCCATCACAAATGCATCCTTTCCAAAGGTGAGTAATTTCAATTTTCATGCAGTGGTTGATGAGTGCACGGTGCTTGCTCGCATGATCACATCCCGTGCAGGGTAAACAAGGGGCCAAGCCAAGCAGAGGAGAGAGCACTGAGTGGCAGCAGTCCTTTCCCTCTCGGCCTTGTTCTTTCCTCTCCCATTTCTTCCCCAGGTTTCACTCCACTCTGCTCCAGGACGACGTGGTATTTCCCACCAATATAGCAGATCCCCAAAGCCTGGTCTCCGCGGGAAGCAGCAGTCAGAAAGATGGATGGGACAAGAGTCTCCCTGCAAGTCTTCGTGTCTCACACCTGTCCTGGTTTCCTTCCTGTTGCTGTGACCAAAAGCAATTTAGGGAAGAGAGGGTTTCCAGAGGGACAGAGTTCCAACAGGGTGAAGAAGACAGGCAGGGAATGCATAGCAGCAGGAGTGGGAAGAAGACAGATTCTATTATAACCACTCAGGAAGCAGAGAGAGAGGGGCAGGAGAGAGAGGGAGGGGAGAGAGGGATAGGGAGAGAGAGGGTGAGGGAGAGGTAGGGGAGGGAAAGAGAGGGAGAGGGAGGGGGAAACAGGAAGTGAGGCCAGGCAATAAAACCTCAAAGCCCTCACCTCATGAAGTACTTCCTTCTCTAAGACTCCATCCCCTGAAGGTTCCATAGCTTTCCCAAACAGTGCCACCAGCTGGGGAACAAGGTGTTCGAACACATGAGCTTACTAGGGTATTTTATATCCAAACCACAGGGGTCCGCAGCCAACATCCTCCTGTCATCCGTCATCCTTCCTCACTCTGTCTTTGCTGCCTCCTCTGCTTCTCCTAGACTCTGCTTCCCTTTGCCTCACTCTTGACCTCACTCCTCTTCAGTTTGTCTTCTCTTCCCTATCTGGAGATGATGGTCAGTGTGTGTGTGTGTGTGTGTGTGTGTGTGTGTGTGTGTGTGTGTGTGTGTATGTGTGTACAAACTGAGTTGGAATGGACTTGCATGTACTGAGATCCAGGGAGAAAGCCATCACCATTACCCCAGAAGGAGATTTCTAGGAGGGAGACAGGACTAGTGGGGACCTCACCTAGAATTCCATAGCCCTCTCCTTTTGATTCTCTTCTCTTACTAGCAAGATCTTCCCACAGTGTCTGATTTCATTGTTTAAGGAAGGAAATCAAGGTAGGATGCCATCTGGGTGTGCCTAAACTTTCCACTTCCGTGCATTCCAAGATCTAAAGAGACAGAGACTACCAGCTCTGGATTTTGGGCAAATTCCCTAAAGCACTACCTCATATCACCTCAGCAGAGGACTTTCCCTTGGCTTATTTCACAAGTAGCAAACAGCGTTAGGACCCAGGTCGTCCTCTGTCATTGTAGGGATGGATAGCAGAGAGAAGATTCCATGAAGGCCTTTGAGTGAATGACACCGGCTTCAGAGAATTTTGGTAACAGAATAATTTCTATTTGAACAAGCAAATAGACAGGCACTTATTAAACAAAGATAGCCAAGCTTCTTAAGGTAAATACTTGATAAATGAAACAGCCAGTCATAACATCATTGTATGTCTCATGTTGTGCTTCTAGGCACATTAAAGATCTCCAAATATTCTTTGTGATCAAGGACCCAGGCTTCACATGCCTCCTTTCCAGTACATTTTGCCAGAACATTATTGCAGCCCCCTAGTGTTCAGACATAATGCTAAAAACAGGAAGGAAAGAAAATTCCTGCTTTAAAGTAACAACAGGTTGGCAGCCTGACTGTTGGGGTAAGAGGAACAGGAAGAATGATCAGCTTCCTCGATCCTCCTCCCGCCATGTATTTGCATTAAGAACACCAGGTGAGATGGTGTTTCCATTACCACACCACACATTCTTCTTGCTCTCGGCTTCCTCTCTTCTCCAATGTTGATATGTTTCCTTCACAAGTGTCCTCACGCTCACATTTCCCCTGCTTGACAATTCAAAGGCATATCGTCATCAAAGACTGAGGTACATTCCAATAACATTCATGCTTGCCTCACAAAACGTACAAGTTCATTCTCCACTCAGCTCCCATTGCTAAGGATCTTCTCTATGGCCCTCGTAGGCTAATTGACCATGATTACAAATACATTTTGTTGGAATAATCCTGCCCATTGAAAAACAGAGATCAGTTATCCTGTCAGTGTCTTGCTAAGTCAAAGCATGTAAATACAGTGTAGATATTGGCAAAATGTATTAACTGGATCTATGTATCACAACAGAATAGATAGATAATAGATAGATGATAGACAGATAGGGAATAGATAACTGATGATATAGATGACTGATTGATGACAGACAAATAGATATAGAGAATAGCTATTAAGGCATAGATAGATAGATAGATAGATAGATAGATAGATAGATAGATACATACATACATACATACATACATAGATACATACATACATACAGATGTTAATGTTGGTTGATGCTTAGCCAAGGCAGAACTATACATTATTTCAATGGTCAACTTAATTTTAAGATTTGCAAGGAAGTAAACATTCTGCTGAAGGGCTTGTTTCCTAGCCCCATTCTTCTTGGGATGAACAGAGACTCCACCTTTGAACTTCAGGGATGGCCCATTGATTCCTTTCTAGTCGTTCTTATTGGAGTCTTTCCCAAGTCACACTGCTGGGACTATCAGCGATGGAGTTTGTAACCTACTTCCTACCGGAAAGATATCTTGTGAGACCACCCAATTTCAAGGCCTTTTGCCAAGGCACAGTGGGGCTCCAGTGGGTGAGGACACCAGCATGAAAGCAGACAGAAGGTGGTGAGCTGACCAGGTTGCAGGGCCAGTGGATGCCTAGGTTGGCAATGGCATTTCCCAATCAACAGCTCTTTGAGTGAGTCTAGAACACAGTGCTCCCCTTCCTTAAACTGACTGTGCATGGGCTAGACTTGCCAGGATGAGAAAGATCATCTGCTGTTCTTTTTATCTTCTTCCCAAAGGATGAGCAAGTCACCTTTAACTAGGTCCTTCAGGCAGAAAGCCCTTGCTTTCAAGTCAAGATGTCACCAGGGTGTAGAAGAAGGCAGGCTGGGTGGATAGCCTAATGGTAAATCACTTGCTGCACAAGCGTGGGGACATATAAAAACTTGCATATAAAGCCAAGCATGGTAGTGTGCACTTGCAGTCTCAGATCTGGGGGGGGAGACAAAGACAGGAGCATCTTTACTGGCCAGCCAGCCTCGCCTAATGTGTGAGTTCCGCATCCCAGTAAGTGATGAGCAAACAAAAGCAGGTAGCTCCTGAGAAAGGCCACCCTAAGTTCATCTCTAGCCTTCATGCATGCATGTGCATGTGAATACACACACACACACACACACACACACACACACAGAGAGAGAGAGAGAGAGAGAGAGAGAGAGAGAGAGAGAGAGAGAGAGAGAGAGAGAAGTAAGCAAGCCACCTGGTCTCTCTCTCCCCATTCTGATTCACAATTCCATCCTCCATTTTGTTGGACATGGAAAAAGAAGGAACCAAAGCAGGCCAGATTTCTTTCATAGGTGTGTCTGTTTTCATGCAATTCGATGGATGTTATTAAATCAAATATCAGAAGTGTTTTAAGAGGAAATATTTGTTTACACCGTAAGTTGCAGAAAAAGCAATATTGCTTCAGTCTTGTTAAATCAATTACTCTCTGGGCTTTCTGAAGTTGGCAAAGAATTCTGCATGCCCTGAGAAAGAGCTGAGGTTGCACAATCATTATTTAAAACCTATATGATTCACACTTTCTCTCTCCCTGCAAATAAAAACCAAATATAATCCCTTCTGAAACCCAGTTTGGACTACTGCAATAGCAAACACATTTCTTTATTATTTCTGGCACTTTCTTCACGTTCAGGACTTCTTGGACCATTCAGTCAGACCCAGCCTTCACAATGAAATTTATCCCTGAGATAAAGGAAATAAACAAACCCAGTACCTCAGGCTAACGTGATTTTCTAGTTCTGGAAGGCGGCTGCTCTTTTTGTTTCCCCCCAGCCTGATAAGTTTCCAAGGCGAAATGATTTATCTTTGTCCAGTTCTTCTTGGGATATTCACTGGGCAGAAAGTGGATTAAGGAAGACCTAGAGAATGGCCTGAAATAGAAAAGAAAGACGCTGTAAGGGCAAACCGAAGAAGACGATGGCCTAACCCGATTACTATATATCTTCCAAAGAGGGCAAAAATCAAATTACACTGGAGCAGAAGAAAGTGAAAAGAGAAAGAAATTGCAATATTTTGGTGGAAGGGAGATTGCATTGTAGGGTTAATAGAATTTAGATGGCAACATCATTTTAAAAACTAGATTGACTCACGCCTGTAATTCCTGAATGCACTCTTCACTGGGAAGTTTTGTGTGTGTGTTCCTCTGACATGACACAAGAGTGAAAAAAATGTTCACCGACGATAATTGCCTAGTGCCAACAGACACAATTCCCTTTCAAAAGAGAACAGGGCCAAGGACTGCTGCCAAGGCAAGCGCCGAGGCTGGGAGGACCCAGAGCTCTCCATTATCACAAGTCCCACCCACCCCGTGTCGTTTCTCTCCAAAGCAGCTGCTTGGCACCTGGGGAAGCTTTGTCCCAAGCCTGGATGGCAGGCAGTGCCCAGCTGGGATTCAGCTCCTCCGCCAAAAATTCCCCATTCACTAAGACACAGCTATTCAGGCTTAGCTGGACGATGTGTCACCGAGGTTCTCGGCCTCAAGATACAGGACCTGGATGGGGATGTGAGTGACTTGGAAAGTCCAAGCTAGAGAAAGGAAAAATGCTGGATGAACAGGCAGCTCTGCTCTGCTTGACTTTGGTAGCCCAGGACCCCTGCACTGTCGTGATTGGCAGGAAGAACAGAGCGGAGGCAGAACATTGCTGAACAGCCCCCATCTGAGGGGCTGCATTGTAAGAGGAGCAGACAGTGTTTCCATGGTACTGCAAATAAACCAGGCAAGGCGCATCACACACGTTCCATGTGTGTGGTGTGTGGTCAGCGGGTCCAATGAGGATGACAAAGACCACCTATCTCAGAGGAGGTGGGGGATTTGGGGTGGTTATCCATACAAGACACATGCTTACTGCCTGGTGCAAACACTATATTCAGGTGACAGATGAAGACATCTAAGCTGAGGACCTGAGTTCAGACCCACCTCCCCCATCCCTCTCTGGCACCCAGGACCTACATAAAGCTTTATGTGGTAGCATGTGTCTGTCATCCTCATCTTTCTACAGCAAGATGCTCGGTGAGATAAGAGAATCCTCCCAAGATTATGGCCAATTATCCTGGTTTACATGGTGATTAACTACAAACAGCAAAGTTTGTTCAGACTTTGAGTCCATGTCTCCTAACCTCTGCTTACTCCTCATTACAGTCTGAATATGAAGTGTCCTCTACAGGCTTGAGTGTTTGCGCTCTCGGTCCTGTGCTGGTGGGCTGTTTTGGAATCCTTTGGACGTGAGCCTAGCTAGTAGACATGTCAGGGCTGTAGGACTGGGGTTAGAGAACTATATATCCAACCTTGGCTCCAGTCTGGGTTCTCTACTTTCTGATTGGCCACTGAGATGTGAGCTAACCACACACATTCCCATCACTCGAAACCACGGGCTAAAATAAAGCTCTCTTCTGCTAGGATGCTTCACTCATTTGGTCTCTACAGTAAGAAAATAATGAAAATAGTCCCCCATGGTGTATGTCTGTCACACTCTGACAATCCAATCTCCTAGAGATGGGTATTTATTCACTACCAGTTCCCCAACCCCATCGTCAACACACCTGTGGGTCTTTGGGAGAGGAGCTTAGACATATCAACGTGCAAGACTTCTTTTCATCAAAGACAGATATAGACAAAGTCAATTGATGACAAGAAGAAATGTTGGTTCACAGTGCCCAAAACAACAAGGATCCAATACCTAAAATACATAAGAAACATATAGAATCCTCAAAGAAATCAAGAAGTGGATATAAGCCCGAATTTTATGAGAATTGAACTGTCTCAAACTAGCAAGTATGTGAAGAGATCTTCAAGCTCCTTCATTAATCGGAGACATGCATTTTAAAGCACTATTACCACTGCATGTCTCTGGAATGGTAGAGACCAGAAGTCGGATAGTACTGAGTGCTGCTACAGATCTGGAGACATGGAACCCTTCTTGCACTGACAAAGGGAAGTGCAGCCACCCAGGAGAATGGCCCAGCAGTGCTTGGTCAAATTAAGTGCACGTCACTCTCCTGACCCGGAAATTCTACTCTTTCCCCCATACTTTTACAGTCTGAGGTTTGTGTTTGCTCTTAACACATAAATGTTTCATCCACCTGCGATTTATTTGCAGAGGATAAAGATTTAGCAATATTTGTTTTCTCCAAAGTGTCTGACCAGTTGATCTCATGCTCGCCTCTTGCCTTACCTTCTGCTCACTGTCCCCTCTGCTCTACTAACTTCACAGAGATTCCCGGGTCTGTTTCCAGTGTTGCTTGGAATGGTCAACCATTGACCCATTAGGAGAATGTGTAATCCTTTCTGGGCACTGTGGTTTGATGTCAAGAGTCATGGGATAACTGCTGACCCAGTGGGAAAAACCAGTTGTAGAAACCGAGGGTTGTTCTGTCTGGTACTTGTAAGTTCTTGCAGGGTGGAATTCTGGGATCAGGGCCCTATGTCTTAACTGATCCCCATTGTGTAGTCCCCATCTCCTGACCTTCTGGTAGCACCTCCTTATTTTTCCTTACTGAACTCAGGGGCCAGATCTTTTAAACCGTCCTCTCCACCCCCCCTTTTCATCTCTCCTCCCTCCTCCTCTCTCTATTTCGTTTCTCTCTCTTTTCATTTCTTTCCTCCTTCTGTCCATCTTCCATCCTGTTTCCCGCTTCTCCTTCCCTCTCCTTCCCTAGTTTCTCCTCATTCTCTTTCTCTCTCACTCACCAGACGCCCTACTAATCCTCTTCCAAAACAAAACTGTAAACTCTTGAACAGAATTTGGAAATCAGTAAGGTCCCTCTGGAGACTCACAATGTGGGTATTTCCCTCAGCTCAAATCCAGAACAAGAAAAAACAGTCCTTCAGGATCCAAGTGTCTCTATCTCCTAACAGCAGCCCAGTGGCTCAGATGGAAGTTTTTGCTTCTTCTAGTTCAGGGTCGTTCCAGCAACCCACATCACGTCTGTACACAGAGGGTTAAATGCCTGAGGAGAAGCCAGACACCTGAAAGCCTTCCCATTAGGGAGAGCAAGTCATACTCCAATCTGTAAGGAAGAGCATCTGCTGGAAGGCTGTCAGTCACTTTGGTGGAAAAGACAGACAGCACTTAAAGGCTGTCAATCACTTCCTGTGAAAGCAGAGAAGAAACTTTTAACTTATGAATTGCCAATATTGTCTAAAGTCAATTAAAAAGAATTTTTTAATGCAGAAAATTACTTTGCAGATTAAGCCATTTCTTTTCCACGAGACAATTTGGAACAGCTTTACCTGTCAGATTGAAGAAACAGTTAAATAGTTCAATTAAAGCATAAAAAAGATCTGGTCTGGTATCTGTTGGATATGAGGCTCTCCATCAGTTTAGAAGTGGACAAATTGCAAAAGTGGAAAGGGAACCTGCTGGGCAAAGTTGACACCCAGCTTGTGCCAGGCAACCTGAAATTCACAAGACATATGGGACAACCAAAATGTAACTGCAAGTCAATGACATTTTCGTTTTAGTAACAGTATCCTCACCTCAAGTGCTCAGTGGTCACATGTAGATCATGGACTTCAAGAATGACAGCACAGACACGAAAAGGTACCCCGGACACAGAAAGTTCAGCTGGACAAAGTGTTACTTGGAGTATGGCTGTAGACCACACTCTAGGCCTGTTCTGGGACTGCGGTGAACTTCAGGAGTGTAAGGCAGAGCGGCCTTGTGCTCAGAAGGACTCCATATTTGGCTTAGTACTTTGCTGTCTTAAAATTATAAATGGTTATTTAACAAGGAGTCCTGTGCTTTCATTTCATACCAGGCCCAGTATACATCGTACATCCAGTATCATTTTTATCTTATTTTACGTGTGTGTGTGTGTGTGTGTGTGTGTGTGTGTGTGTGTGTGTGTGTGTGCATGTGTAGGTACCTGTATTTGGACATGTGTGGGAAGGTCAGAGGTTGATGTTATGTGTCTTCCTCAATCGCTTTCCACATTATATATCGAGGCAATGTCTCTCACTTGAGCCGGGAGCTCACTGACTCAGTGGTCTAGCTTGCCTAGGAATACCACCGTCTCCATCTCCCCGCCCCCCCCCCCCAGCACTAGGATTGCAGACCAGCTGAGAAGCCCACTGCGTTCTTGTGGGCTCTGGGGAGCTAACGTCTGGTCCTCAGAGCCGCATGGCAAGAGCTGGACTCATTAAGCCAACAACCCAGGCCCACAGCCAGTCCTGTGGGGGAGCTTGCTCCAAATGGAGAGATGGGGGCTTGCATGCTGTCCCCACTTAACAGAACCTGGAGTAACATGATCCTCCAGCTCCATCTCACTGTCATTAAAATATGATCTAGAAGAGTAGCCTTCTGTTTCTTTAAGTCTGTAGATCTTCTTCAAACCAATTAGAACTAAAACTTCACAGAATCAAATGTATAGCAAAGATTAAAACAGCAATGCCCATTTGATCTCTCTCTCTCTCTCTCTCTCTCTCTCTCTCTCTCTCTCTCTCTCACACACACACACACACACACACACACACACACAGGTCACACATAATCACTACTTGGAGATAATACATGAATATTTTGGATCAAGTTCTATATAAGAGACTGAACACCCAGAACCCAGAACCCTAGCTGGAGATGGCTTATGAACACCAATCCTTGACACACCCCAACCTGTAAATCTAAGCTTTCTTGAAATAAACCAACCAGTGGAAACCATGGCAACCATTACATATCTTTTGTATGGAATATTTGCCAACCCATGTTAGCACTTATGAGGGAGCCCCCACTTTGTGCTAGTAACTTCACTACATGCCCTCATTTAATTATAGCCTGAAAAACAGGCACTGGCAATCCATCACATCATACCCATAAATGACTGAAGGCTCAAAATGGGTAATTCACTTACCCAAGCAGAGACCGTTTGAACTCACTTTCAGGTCTAGAATGAAGGTAGGGTAAAATGAGGCATTTTTGGGGGGTTCTAAATGGGAGAATTTGGCCAAAAATTTAGCACTCAAGGTAAAAGATTTAAATTCATTATCTGAGAAAGTTAAAATCAATGTAAAAATGTTCATGAAGAGTGAACCATCACAATGTAAAATAAAGACAGGGTCTTGTTGTGGGTTGAATCTGTGACCTTGTGTTATTGTGTAGCAGGATCAGCCTGTCCCATTAGCCCATGGTGCCTGATTATCACAGGAACATTGAATCTCCAGCTAGGCTGACGAGGGTTGATGACAGCATTTGGATATATTGGGCAACACAGCCTTTGTATATTGTCCTGGCTTCTGATTATTCAGATTTTATTGACTTTCTTTTTTGGCTGGAAATGGGGAGAAAAGGTGTTTTGATTTATATATATATATATATATATATATATATATATATATATATATATATATATATATATATATATATATATATATATATATATATTGTGTTGGGCATCTTGTTTCCACTGTGCCTTAGCTTGCCATTGCAGAAGTCTCACAAGTTTGAGGCTGGGCAGAAGGCCTTCCTCTGTCTACACCAGTGGTTCTTAGTCTGTAGTGGGTAGCCATTCCAGCTTTGATCTGGAAGTTCCAAGCCCCATTGAGACTTCGGCAACTGTCACGCCTACAAGGCAGGGCCAAGGGAGGCGCCTGGAGACCCGAGATCTGTATCGGCCAGCACTCTCTCTGTTCCGGGACCCTGGACGGTGAAGGTGGGCCAAGCAGAGCTCCAGAGAACACCGCTGGACTGCGATACACCTTCCCCAGACCCCGCGACCTACTTATCCCTTAATTTGTAAGTTACGCCATTAAATAAATCTCCTTTTAACTACGTGGAGTGGCCTTAATAATTTGACCAATATTAGTCCTCCACCCTAGAACCTGCCATCCCTGTGGCAATCCTCACAATATTCAGAATGAGGCTCGATGGCCTAAAATGACTGTTGTTGTGAAATTTTCCAGCTCGTTCTGCTGCGTGGCTTAGCTTGAAGATGGTGCTGCTGCACCTACCTTATAGGTTCACAGGTAGCTGGTGCACAGATGAAACTCCTTCAGAGTAGAGGGAGGATAGGTGACCGTGAATCATCTCTCACCAGGGAACAAAAATTGTAGCATTCCAGATCTAAGTGCTAGGTTAGGAATTAGAATATAGGAGCCAAACAGGCTTTCATTGGATTGCAAATTTACTGACTTATTTATTTATTTGTTTATTTATTTTGGTTTTTCGAGGCAGACTTTCTTTGTGTAGCTGTGGAGCCTGTCCTGGAACTCGCTCTGTAGACCAGGCTGGACTCGAACTCACAGAGATCTGCCTGCCTCTGCCTCCCAAGTGCTGGGATTTAAGGTGTGCACCACCACCGCCTAGCTAGATTGCAAATATTACTGATGAAAAAATAAACCCCGCCGGGCGGTGGTGGCGCACGCCTTTAATCCCAGCACTCGGGAGGCAGAGCCAGGCGGATCTCTGTGAGTTCGAGGCCAGCCTGGGCTACCAAGTGAGTCCCAGGAAAGGCGCAAAGCTACACAGAGAAACCCTGTCTCGAAAAAAAAAAAAAAAGAAAAAAAAAAAAGAAAAAATAAACCCCACCTTACTAAAGAGGAAGAATAGAACAGGAGCAAAGGTTCCTGGGTTTTTCCTAGTGTACCCATTATACAACACACTCTCATGACCATTCTCATAACAAAGAAATCCAGACACCAGGGCTGGAGGGATGGCTCAGGAGTTAAGAGCACTCGCTGCTCTTCCAGAGGCCCCTGGCTTGATTCCTATCATGAGCCTGGAAGCTCACAACTGTCTGTAACTCCAGTTCCAGGGGATCTGATACCTTCCTCTGGTCTTCACAGGCATCGTGCATATATCTGGTGCACAGATACGCATGCGGGCAAAACACTCATGTACATAAAATAAATAATAAAAATAAATGAATAATAAATAAAAGAATAAAGAAGAAATACAAACACAAACCCAAGAAATATCCTCAAATCACAAGATTTGTCACAAGATGTTTTTTTAATTCAAAAGTGTTGAAGTCTTTTTTTCCCCCCTCAGATAAAACATGGTTAACCTAGATCTCAGTTCACTGAGTAAGGACTCACTGGAGCCATACAATGTTTTCTTTAAAAGCTGACTGAATATTCATTTGACATGGAGAGATTCCACATGAGAATATACTTCTGTTAAGTACTTGGGACATTTGGCAGCATATCTGTGCTGATTTTAATTTTTTTTTTACCTGTGTGTGTGTGTGTGTGTGTGTGTGTGTGTGTGTGTGTGTGTGTGTTGCATGTATGTATGTAGGTGCACATGTGCCCTGGCATTCGTGTGGAAGACAAAAGACAACTTCCAGGAGTTGATTCTCTCCTTCCACCATGTGGGTTCCAGAGATCAAACTCAGATCCTCAGACTTGGCCACAGGCACCTTTATGCCCTGAGCCATCTCACAAGCCCAGATCTGTGCTCTTGATTGTTGCAATTGCCCAGAAAAGAGCTACCACTGACTACTGGACAGGCATTTTTGTAGAATCTAAAAAGTCCTTGTGCATACAGATAAGCACCAGAGAAGCCAGGAAAAGTTACACATGCAGCTTTTCTCTTCAGAGGAAGAAGATGCTTAACTGGTTTCCTAGAAGGCTGAGGGAGAATCCTGTTTACAGTCTGGTGATCTTTTGCTATCTGTTGAACCAGGCTCCTCCCATATCCCTCAGAGTTCATGCTTTGCATATTCCAGACGTTTTCTTCCTCAATTTTAGCCACTCTAGGCATAAAAACCCATCTTCATGACTGATGTCCTTGTACAGCCTAAGTGACTTCTATGTGATCTCAGGGCCAAGCCACCAATCCTGACATCCACAGGCATCATGATTACCTCAGTCACTCTCCCTAGGCCCTAAATCCTGGGCACTATCTTTGAGTCAACAGTCCCCAATTCATGAAAGAAGCCAGATGGACTTAGTAAAGAATCTCAATGTAAACATGACCTAAATTTGCTGTACAGTTGGGACTGAGTTCATTGTTATCAGAAAATTTTTTCCCCAAATTTGTGCTGTGCTAAATATGGCTAAATGAACCAAGTGGTGTCAGACTGTACGTTTGAACCAGTGATAGCTACCTGTCAACCCGAATCAAGTTCCACTCCTCTCTTCTGGCTGTGAAGCCTGTAGGGACCCCACCCCCACCTCAGGTTTTAATCCCCCCACCCCCACAGCTTCTTCCATTTGTGCGTATTACTCTAGGCTGGCCAGTGTCACTAAAAGCAGAAAATTATTGGCATTCTTGAAATACCCGGATCCTCCTTGTGGTCTACCTCGCGCATCTGTGTCAACTGTTAGCCCTGGTGGGGTTGAGCTTACAACCCCTGATGTTGTCATTGGAACATAATGGGCCACACATACATTTGGGACAAAGGAGTTGCCCAGGATGGGAGATACGATAGTTTGACACAGGGAAGATCCAAGGAGGGTACTTCACCAAGAGCCCGCGGGCACGAGTGAGGCGGCGCTGGAGGTAAAGGCACTTGTCACCAAGCCTGATGGCCCGAGTTTATTCCCCCAGACTTGTTGCTGGACAATGAGAACCAACTCCTGTAATTTGTCTTCTGACCTCCATAAGCATGTCACAGAGCACCCACATGTGTGAACACACACACACACACACACACGCACACACACACACACACACACACGCACACACACACACACACACACACGCACACACGCAGCCTCTAAGTACTGACCTCCTATTCCTGGTTCCCAAACTTTACAGGCAACCCAACCTGATCCTCAGACAACCCGATCCTTTTCGCTTGAAATCTGTTTCATGTCTCCGGGGATTTTCCTCTCCGCCTGCTTTGGGCTATTCTCCTACGCAATGATGACCTTCGAGTTGTTCTCTGAAGTTTCTTTGTCTGCCTTGGTTCAGCTTCTTGAGTTATCTACTTTGCACCCTCATAAGTCCCTACACAATCAACTCAATAAAGACACTGTGTGTTCTCCTGACTTCCCCAGGCTGGAGAATAAGCTCCTTAAGTTTGCCTGTTTATACTTCCTCCTAATCCTCATACCATACAGAGCAGATGAGGATGGACACACAACCCATCTTGCAGCCTTCAAAGCAGGGAAGCACTTCCCAAATCCAGCCACTAGAGGTCGCACATCCACACAGTCTTGCCTGGCCCAGGTTCCCTACTGCACATGGATTACTACACAAACTGGAAGTAGGGCAGGCTGTCTTTATTTCTTTTTCTCTCCAACACAGCCTCGGGCCATCAGAGCTTCTGATGTCAGGGTCCCTGCCGTGCAAGCTGCAGAATGAAAACACTGCAAATCACAAAGGTCACTGCCTTTCGCTCTGTGCATCCAGTGCTCACCTGAAATTTCTGCTTCAGCGGCGAGAGCCCAGCTCAGGCTCTGAATGTTTTTCTCAGTTCCGATATTCCAGAAGTAGGGGCGGAAACCTGTGACCGTTGGATGCATTGTGTGTGCGTGCTTACAAATTATGCCTCAGACTGGTGATGTGTGGAGAAAGATTTCCATGCACACGCCTCTCCTCTGATCCCTGGGGAGTTTCTGAGCAGGGCACTGTACTAAAAACAGCACTGGCCTTTGCAAACAAGCCCTGGCAAACGAGCCAGGCTTCATATCTGTGAGACTTACTGAGCCCAAAGCAGCACTATGAAACAGTAAGTCGGAAGACTGGACAACTGCTGCAGATGGGTGGGAAGGGAAGAAACAAAGGTAGCTCTAGCTCGGGACTTCGCATAGCCGCGAGCCTAGCCTGGTGTCATGTGGACATTTGGGGCCAACATGCTGGTGAGAATTCAGAGTGACCGATTCAAGTGAACACATCAGTTATAAAGATCTCAGGGGTGTGCAGTTGCTGGGAACCAAGCTAGCACAGTGTGGATGACTGAAAGTTGTGCCTCCCAAGCCCCTGAAAGCAAGCTCAAGCTTGCCTCTGGGAACTTCTAAACTAGCCTTTAGACTTGCTGGCAAACTTCAAAGCAAAGATACCGCCGCGATCGTGAGCGTTTGTAGCTGGACTCTCTGAGTTCTGACGTTGATTGGCCACGACTTCAACCCTCTGTGACTCAGTTTGCTCACCTGTAAAATGAGACTAAGAGTCCCCACCTCACAGGTGTGGATAGATGCAAAGTGCTTGGAATAAGTGCCTGGAGCAAGAGTATAGTCACATGCTGCTGAATTTGAAATGCATCATCAGGCAGTTAACCCCCTTGTGGGGACATCATGGAGTCAACTTGTGTACACACATCTACACAAGCAAAATATCAAAAACTGTGTTCTCCAAATGGTCTTGTTTTTCTGGCTTAGTGATTTGGTGGGGCACCTGGAAGAGGAGATGGATTGCATTTGACCTCTTTCTGTTCCTAAAGGTCACCAGTGGTGTGTGTATTGACACAGTGGAAGGTCACGCTAGAAGGTCCTGGTATCCTCACCGTGCCAGGTCACAAAGGACCTTGATTTGCAACTTACAGCAACACTGCTCTTAAGGAAGACTCTTAACTTGCCTTAAAGCCTTGAAGAGGCCACCAACTCTACCTCCATGTAGACGGAGCTGTTCGAGGCCTCCATTTCCAGAACAAAGAGGCATCATCCATACTGAAGATCTTGCTCTGACAAGTAGTTCCCTTCTACAATCAGCTTGCCCAGAGTGTCCAAGAGTCATCAGCCCCGGGAGACTCACTGTTCATTCCAACATCAAATTAACAAATACCACTCCTTGACTAGCTCGCACCAACCTGGAACCTCAACACGTGGGTGGGCCCAGTTTCAACATAGCAAACGGCCCTGATGGTCTTTCTTCTGAGAGAGCTGCAGTTCTGTCTGGCCTTCAATCCAAGCCTTTGGAGGTTTTCCAAATTTTATAGAGTTTTTAGTAGTTTAGTATAGAGTTTCTAGGTAGTTTTCAGTTTTGGGAAATAGGGTTTTGCAGAGTCCAGGTTGGCCTTGAACTCCTCATGTAGCCAAGGATGACCAAAACATCGATCTTCTTGTTTCTGTCTCCCAAGTGCTGGGATTACCATGCCCAGCTTCCAGTCTCCATTGCCTTCCACAAATCAGATTCTTAAATAGCTTCGATCCCTTTGTTCACATTTTTCAAGATTGTAGCTGTGAACCAGGGCATGCTTGACTGGAGAGCAATAACCATCATTGATTTTCCACCTTCATAGCCCTTAATCACTTTAAATTTCATTTCCAGGTCAATTACTCCATGTGACCTCTTGCTAGCAACATTAGCAGTGGATTTTTATATTTAGGGTCCATGATGAACAAAACATGCGATTCAATAAGCACCAGAGAATGATGCTATCAACACACACCGTACACATAAAACAGGATGAAAGGGTCTGCTGGAGTGCCACACAGCGTGTTTACAGTACGCTTTTATTTTTTTCCCCTTCTCAATAAAAGAAATTGTGCTGCTCAATTTTAACTGTCTGCTTGACATAACCTAGAATCACCCCGGAAGAGAGTCTGAATGAGGAATTATCTAGATGAGGATGGCCTATGGGCATGTCTGTGGGGGATTTTCTTGATTGCTAACAGAGGTGGGAAAATCCACTCTGAACACAAGTGGTGCCATTGTGTGGGCTTTGGCCCTGAACTGCACAGGAGTGAAAGAAGGAAGCTGAGCACAAGAAGGTGGGCAGCATGGATGGATGAGATTCGGTCTGCTTCCCACCGTGGATGTGATGCGGCTAGCTGTGTGAGTTCCTGCCATGACTGTCCTGAAATGACGGGCATTACCGTTATCAAGTATCGTGTATGTGTACAGTATTCATTGTGTGCATTTGCCGAACTGCCAGAGTGGTGTTTTTTTTGTTTTTTGTTGTTTTGTTGTTTTTGGAGACAGGGTTTCTCTGTATAGTTTTGGTGCCTGTCTTGGATCTCACTCTGTAGGCCAGGCTGACCTTGAACTCACAGAGATCTGCCTGGCTCTGCCTCCCGAGTGCTGGGATTAAAGGCGTGTGCCACCTGTGCCTGGCCAGAGTGATGGTTTTGTTCACACAAGTATGGTCATAAACATGTGTGATGCATTGTGCTGTGATATTAATGTCACTAGGCTGCAAGAATTTTCCAGTTCCAATACAATCTTAGAGGTCCATCACTGTGTATGTGGTCTCTCATTGATTGAAACAATGCTATGTTGTTCATGCTCTTTATTACTATTACTACATATTACATCTGTGTTTTTTATTACTACTACTACATATTACATCTGTGCTCTTTATTACTATTACTACAAATTACATCTATGCTCTTTATTATGATTACTGTTACTACATATTACATCTGTGCTCTTTATTACTATTACTACATATTACATCTGTGCTCTTTATTACTATTACTACATATTACATCTGTGCTCTTTATTACTATTACTGCATATTACATCTGTGCTCTTTATTACTATTACTACATATTACATCTGTGCTCTTTATTACTGTTACTACATATTACGTCTGTGCTCTTTATTACTATTACTACATATTATATCTATGCTCTTTATTATGATTATTATTACTACATATTACATCTGTGCTCTTTCTTACTATTACTGCTATGTTTTTGTTACATCAATGTTTCATGGCTGAGGAATGCAGTGGGGACAAGGGATATTCTTCACTCATCTTTAGATTACTGGCATGTGTCCAGGGGTGAAAGAAATAAGAATTATCCCAGTTTCACAAGAACATGACTAATTTTCTGGAAGCATATCTCAATTTTCCACACTGTGATTATAGGATACTACAGATCATTTTTCCCCTTCAAAGGACTAGCTGGTCTCTGTGTCATCTTTTTCAGAAGTTGTATCCTCGATGCAAGAGTAAAATTATGTCTTGTTTTGGAACCGTTGGTTGTCAGGATCTTGAAAGGGCTAAATACATCTTCAGTGGGCCAAAGGCATTTCCACTTGGTGACATAAACAGAGCTAGAAAAGCCCTTGATGAGGGAATTATGAGTGTTCAAATATTTACTGTCCAAGATGAAACAAGAGCTAATAATTTACCAGGAATTTTTACACAGAGTAACTAAGCTCCAAATATGAAGAATGTCTTCTGGTATAAGCAAAAAGTAATATTTTTTTTGCAATATAATAATTTCTTTCTCGAAATTTTTAGTTCAGAGATCAAAAAATGGTGGCTAGTCTCTCACACGCTGCCCCTCCCTTCATGCATCTGATCAAACCCACAGTCGGCTCGTCAGCTCAAGGGACCAGTGCTTGAGATGGTGGGTGCGTTCGGGTTTTTGTCAGGAATGATGGTGTTTCGGAAAGAAGGAGAAAGTGGAACTCTTCAGCAAATGACAGAAGGATCAGCCCACTTCCTGTAGGCAAGACAGAACAAGAAAATAGTGAGAAGTTAAAAGGAAATCCATTGCATTTTAGATTGTTAAACTCCCATCATAAAGTCTGGAATCTTCTGCTGAGAAGAAGAATGGGCGAAGCTTTGGGGAGGCCGGGCATGGGTAGACATGGCAGAGAGTGGTACAGAGGGCCCCACTTCATCCCCTCCAGCCTTCTCTTCCTCTAGAGCCTTTGCTGCTCTTCTCTTTACCTTCCAGCCTCCTTCTACCTACCTCAATTTCTTTCCTAGTATGTCCTAACACGTGCCTGCATTTTCCCGTTTGTTAATCAAAGTTGTATATTTTGACTCAGTTTTTCTTGATTGATTTTTATTGTATGAGCGTGAGTGTTTTGCCTGCATGCATGGCTATGCACCACGTGTGTGCTTGGTGCCCTCGGAGGCCAGAAGAGGGCGGGGCACAGGGTCTCCTGGGACTGTCGTTGCAGATGGTTGTGAGCTACCATGTGGGTGCGGGGAAGCAAACCCAGTTCCTCTGCAAGAAGAGCCAGTGCTCTAACCACTGAGCAACTTCTTCAGCCTCTCTACCTAAGAATTTAACACAAGTCAAACGCCTTTGCAACCTCTCTGGTCTCCTCTCTGGATCCCTTGCTCCCCCCACCAAAGACATCAAAGTTGCTTTTTTTTCTTTTTTAAAGCTTGCTTCTGGCTACCTTTCCTAGACTAGTGATTCCTAGCAGAAAAAATAAATAGTAGCCTGGCCAAGACATACAAATGTAGAAAGTACAGAGTTTCTTTAGAAATGTTGCTTTGGTAAAGCTCTTCGCTACTGAATTTACTTCTTCATTCTGTGTCCTATGCTAGGAATTATTAAGAATCTCTTTTTGGGGGTATGTTCTCCTTTATTAAACATAGTCTTTTCTCATACAACAATATGAATACAGTTTCCCCTCCCTCTAGTCCTCCCAGTTCCTCCCCACATCCCCTCCAATCTGGATCCACACCCTTTCTGTCTCTCTTTAGAAAAGAACAGGCCTCTAGGTGATAACAACAAAACATAGCAAAATAAAATATAATAAGAGAAAACAAAAACCATCATACTGAAGTTGGACAAGCCAAGCCAAGAGAAAAATTGAAGAATTCCAAGAGAAGAAACAAGAATCAGAGATCCCTCATTTACACGTTCAGGAGTCCCATCCAAGTCCTAAGCTGAAATATATACAGAGGCCCTGATACAGGCCTGTGCAGGCTCTGTTCTTGCTGCTTCGGTCTCTGTGAGTTCACAGAGATTTGCTCAGTTGTGTTAGAGGGCCTTGTTCTCCTGGTGTCCTCCATCCCCTGCGTCTTCCCCACTCATTCTGCCTCCTCTTCAGAGGTGTTTTCTGAGCTCTGAGGGGATGGGTGTGATGGAGACATCTTGTTTAGAGCTGTGTGGGCCTCTGTGTCTGTTCCCATCTGCTGCAGGTGGAAGACTCCCTGGCGCTGGCTGAGTAAGGCACCAATCTAGGAACACAGCAGAACAGCATTGGGAGTCATTTTATTGTTACTTTTTTTTCAGAGCAGTCGTACTTGGGTTTACCTTAGGTCTCTGGGCTCTCTAGACTGGGGTTCTTGGTCACCCACGCTGTGTCATGTACAGATTCCATCTCACGGAGGGGGCCTTAAATCAAATTAGACATTGCCTGGTCACTCCCACAAGGTTTGGACCACCATGGCACCAGCATATTTTGCAGACAAGACAGATTGTAGATCAAAGGTTTTGTGGCTGGATTGGCGCTTACTTTTCTCTTTTGGGAGCCTTTCTGATACTTTTCCATGTCATAGACTCTAGAACACAGGAATGAAGGTTCTATGTAGGCATCAGCTTGACCTCTCCATGTTCAATGAGCTGTGTGGGTTTTGTCTGCAGCAATGGGGCCCTGCTGTCAGCTTGTGAAGAGTAAACTATTGTCTTGAACAGCAAGGATCTCTTTAAAACATGAATGATTGGGAAAAATAAAATGAAAAGCAGATTAGAGAATGTCTCAGACACAAAATATGGAACATGAAGAAGTTTCTGGATCAAGTGAAGTACTGAGTTGTGGACAACAGCATTTCATCCTCCTTTGGTCTGGCCAGATCCGTGCCAAGAGGCTGCTCCAGAAAAATGGCCTGTGGGAAGGCAGGGGGGTGATGGCCTTCAAGGAATAAATGTTGCTATAGTGTGGACTGTGATTGTCCCTCAAAGACCCACGTGTTGAAAGTTTACTCTCCGGGTGGTGCTGTTGGGAGGTGGAGAATACTTCAGAATGCCCTGTCTTATGGGAGGGTCATTGGGGTTGTCCTGGAAGGTGACTGGATGGTGGGATCTCATCTTCTCCTCCCTCTCTTCTTTACCCTCCACCATTCATCTCCCTCTCCCACTTTTAATTTGAGATGTGACTGTTTTGCTCTGACACATGCTCCCATCACAGTGTGTTGCCATCAGACAAGGTACTGGAACTGAGCCCATAAATGCACCATGCCTTTGAGCCTCCAAAACTATGAATTCAACTAATCCTTTTCTCTTTATAAATTAGTTGCCTCAGGTATTTTGTTATGGAAACAGAATTCTGACTAATTTAATGAGCTGGATTTCTATTCTTTTTATTTTTGTTAGTTTAATTATTCTTATGTAATACATCATAACATGTACCTGAAAGAGTTTTTGTATTTTTCTTCTCTTTGTGTTTAAACTATGGACACTACCACAGCTATTCTTTCTGCATCAGTGGCTACTTCTGGGTTCTGGATTGGTGAGCCTGGACCAAACAAGGCAACGAAACAGAAGTCAACTCACAGATGGATTAAGAGTTCTTAGGATGCAAGTCTTTTCTGTAGTCACTTCTTGTTTGCTCCTTAGGATTTTACTTTTCATGGCCATAAAATTATGTTCTGTACATTTGCATGCAAGCGTTTAACCACACTGAGTGGTGACATAGGTTTTCAGGATGAACTTCTCAAGGTATTTAGACCTTGACCTCAGAGATTCTCATTTAATCTGTAGGGGCTGGATAAAGAATAAGATTTCGTTATTTGTTTTTCAAGATTTGCTAATCAAAATTGCATATATATATATATATATATATATATATATATTTACTTAAAAGCAAAATAACAACAAAACAAGTTCTGTCCTTGACCTTAACAAAACATAACTCTTCAAATACAAAATGAAGAACTGGGATCATGGAGGAATAAGAGCATTCATCTTCTGATGATTGGATGGAGCACATACAACACATGACGTCCTGGAGCATGACTCAGCATGTGTGAACCTATTTATGTGGTTTTGGTTCCTCTCAGTCCCAGTCTCCTGAGCTCATCACCAGTATTCTCTCATCATGTTCAAATCCAAGATGTCCCGGACACAGTAGGACACCAAGTGGCACCTCAACCCTATAATCTATGGATGCCAGTAGCCCCAGCCACTGTAACAACTGAAATTGCCTCTGGACATTGCCAAATACCCCCTGGGTGACAAAGCCATCTCTTGAGAGTACTGATCAAAATATATTCAAACACTCAGGACAGAGATACCAGTGACCTGGAAATGTTTGTGTTCAGCTTTCAGAGAGCATGGGATCTTTATTTAAAGATTTCAGTGCATGAATTTGAATATGAAGTGAGTGAAATGAAACATGAGTGAGTGAGTCAGTCATCAAGAACCACAGATTTCCCCTCAAAACAGGAGAGATTCCTTTAAAAACAGTCTTTAAAGCTTTTAGTCTTGGCTTAGTCACAGTCATTATGTTTGAGACTTCTTCTGCTGTGATAACCACACACCAGAAGAAGTATGGAAAGGGTTTACTCGGTGCATTGTAAGCATTTAATAAATGTTTACCATTAAAAATGCTTCTTATTACTAACAGTTATTATCATGAAGTATTTAGAGCATATGGCTTTCAAAAGTTTTAAAACTAGTTTAATTATATTTTTATGTACTTGTTTGTTTATTTTATGAGCGTGGGGGGACACACACAAGAGCATGTGTGTAGGGCAGAGGACAACTTTTGGGACTTGCTTTTTTTCTTCCACCATGTGGGTCCAGAGACGGAATCCAGGTGGTCAGATTTGGCGAACTTACCTTTACTGCTGAGCAGTTTCACTGGAGCTCAGGGTTACTCTAAGTGCGAACTCATGGGCTAGGGAGATGGTTTAGTTGGTAAAGTGCTTGGCGTGTAAGCATGAGACCCTGAGTTCAGTCCCCCACAAAGCACCCGTGTAAAAAGCTGGGGATGGTGATGTGCGCCTGAAGTCAGTGCTAGGCGAGTGGAGACAGGGGAATCTCTGAGGCTTGTTGGCTAGCCAGCCTAGAGGAATGGGGGGAGGGGGACTCCAGCTCCAGTGAGAGACTATATCTCATAAAGTAAAGTGGAAAGGACTGAGAAGATGGCTCAGTCAATACAGGGCTGTGACAGCCTAAGGCCCTGACTTTATATTGCAGTGCATACACACACACACACACACACACACACACACACACACACACACACACGTGCACACACTCACCCATGCATGCATACACACAAGCCTGACATGGCAGCATGCGTCCATAATCCCAATGCCAAGGAGACAGAGACAGAAGGATCTCTGGGACTTGGTGGCTGGTCAGTCTAGCTCAGATTGGCAAGATATAGGCTCAGCAAGAGACCCTGGTCTCAAAGGCTAGGGTAGAGAACAATCGAGGAGACACCTGATGTTGCCTTCTGACTTCTACTTGCACATTTGTGTGTGTGAACACAGCAACACACTCAAGAGGAAATACTCACTTCTAATGGCCATAATCACCCTTCAGGGCTTTCTCATTATCGTCGTAATGATCTCAAACTTGGGTTTTCTCCTGTTTTGTTTGATTTTAATTCTTTGAGACGATGCCTCACTATATAACCCAGATTGGCCTCAAACTTCAGATCCCATCCCCCTGCTGTCTTCTGAGGGCTATGATTGCAGGTGTACCCCACCTTTCCCATCTGGTTTTCTCCTGTTCTATGAATGAGGAAG